ACAGATTCTTGGACACATAATGAGAAAGGAGTGTTTAGAGAACTTGACTGTCACAGGACATCTCCAGAGTAAAAGGGTAGACAGGGGATCACATATCTGACGAGCTTGTGTGTCGATCTCTGCCTGACAGCAAATTTTATTTATTAAAATTTCTTGAGTGTACAGGGCGATCAACGTAATACAACCTGCTTACAATAAAAATAAAAATGGAGTGTCTATTTCAAATATGAGTATCCATTAAAATAACGTTTGCAGAACTAATTATAAAAAATATTAAAAATATAATAAATATTTACAGATGTAAAGATAAGAATTATAAAAATATGAATATATAATAAATATATATATATATAAATGTAAGACTAATTAATAATTAAAATATATAATTATAGATATAAAAATAAATACAAAATAAAGAAATAGAATAGAAATAGGAGGATTAATATAGAGACATAACATCTTTATCGAGAACTGAAATATAAAAATAAAAGTTATTACCCTCATACGTCGAACATATATTTAACAATATTGCCGATTTATGACTGGTAGGGATAATTCCAAGGAGTATATTAATCCAAGGAGAGTTCAATGTAGACTACAGAGAATAATAATAATAATAATAATAACGTTGATCAGGAAGAAATCCTTAAAAATTCATTTCATTTATAATTTATTTCGTGAATATCTATATATTCATCTCTACAGACTGAAATCCCTTAGGAATTGGAGACGATACACCGGACTGATATATTAGACTGACAGGAGTAAGGGAAAGCAAGAGAGAAGAAAATAGAGAAGGAGGGGAAGATGAAAAGAGACTTTTAAAAAGTGAGATTGAGAGAGGGTATGGAACTTACTTCCTTACTTCTTCTCTGAAGAGATGAATATATATTCGCGAAATAAATTATAACCGAAATGAATCTTTAAGGTTTTTTCTTGAATATATATATATATAGTTAGGTAATGAAATGTTTCGTAATCCGTATGGATAATCCCAAGGAGGATGTAACCCAGAGAGCTCAATGTAAAACTTGTATAAAAATAATAATATGTAACTTTTTAAACCATTTTCTTTGATGCTTGGAAATTTGATCTGAGGAACCAGGAAAATTCCCATTCCTGGGGAAATAAAATATAATCTATACACCCCTAAGTTTTACATTTTTTTAAATTTAACTGATATATATATATATATATATATATATATATATATATATTAGATTATGCAGTATCTATATTATATCATATAAAGAGCTATAAATTCTTTGTATGATTACCTCTTTATGATTATATATATATATATATATATATATATATATTTAATTTCAATTAATTTTTACAAGCTTTCGTCTGTTCCTACAGACATCATCAGGTATGGAAGTAGATTTTGTTCTTGAAATTAAAAGGTGCAAATATAATTTACAAATTCATGAATCATTCATACAAAAAAAAAATATAAATGTTAATGATTTAAATGGCGAAAATACATTGTCGCAAACTATAAATAAGATACATCAACCCCGAACCTGTATATGAATGATATGATCCCTGTTTATAAATTCCAGTTGCATATACTGAGAACAAGAACAAAATCTACTTCCATACCTGATGATGTCTGTAGGAACAGACGAAAGCTTGTAAAAATTAAAAAGACCTCATGCAACTGGAATTTATAAACAGGGATCATATCATTCATATACAGGTTCGGGGTTGATGTATCTTATTTATATTGTTTGCGACGATGTATTCTCGCCATTTAAATCATTAACCTTTATATTTGTTTTTTGTATGAATGATTTATGAATTTTAATATATACATACATATATATATATATATATATATATATATATATATATATATATATATACACGTTTCATTAAATAATATAGACAAGTGTTGTCTATTTATTTTATGTAAAATTTGTTCGTAACATCTGATAAGTTTGATAACATTATATGCTGCCTAAATACACACACAATATATATATATATATATATATATATATATATATATATATATATATACGTTGTGTTCGATGTACGAAGGTTCAGCAGCTCAGTTCTTAGAACCGAACAGCCAGACTACCTACATATATGATTATAATGATGCAGGCTTGTTAGAACCAATCATACTTTTCGGAAGAACTAAATACAGAGAACTAGTGGGGCACGTAGTATATCCTGAAAATATGAAGTATATCCGGAAAGTATTAAGGGACTAAACAGGGAATTTGGTTTTACTCAGAGAGTACAATTTCCACAAAGGAAGCCTATAACAAGTAATACCACACCTCAGATGAATTAGTTCCACACACCCTTTTTTTTACCCCAAATTTTAACAGCCATCACCCCACCTACCTACTATATTTTATGTTCTATCATCTATGATTTCCCTCATGACGCACTAGTCACCAATTGAAGGATTGCCCTGTTCACTGAGGGCTACTTACCAGTCACCCTCTTTATACCATCATTGAATCTATCACTATGGCCCCTTTACATATAAGCTTATGTAAGGAGAGGGAAAAGTTAGTGAAGATACATATTAATTTTGTACATGTATTTATATCTATACGTGTATATCTGTTTGGTGGCTTGTGTATATTTACACACCGTTATATGCACATATGTACGCATGTACATCTATATACACGCTTTTTCCTTTTTTTGTTTTTCCTTTATTTTATTAAATCCTTTTTTGAGTCTGTCTATATTTCTGAGATAAAGTATTATATAGTGTGAGTTCAATACCCGGTTAAGGCAGTGGAGAACTTTCAGAGGGAAATTAACAGGCGATAACTGATAACTGACATCCATCAAACATGGCACGTGGAGTTAGAACAGTCTACCCTAGTGAGCGAAATAAAGGGTTCGAATCGACATTCCAACCACCTGAAGAAGGCCGGAGCGTACAACGGCCGAAACGTTGTGATAGATATGGTGAAAAAGATGAGGACAATAGTCCGAATAATGTAAATCCTTTTTTGTTGACAGTAGATTTTCAATTTTTTATCTATATATTTGTTAATTTTCTGTTTCTTTTTGTTTTCTTTTCATTTTTATTTAATGATATTTCATTATCATATTCCCTCCCCCACTCTCTATTTTTTCTTTCCCTTTCTCTATCTTCCTTTACATCACTTCATATTCTAACGATAGTCCCATCTTTCAACACGCGTCCACGTGGTCTGTCAATTTTTGCTACAACTTGTTATACGCAAGACGTCTTTCCCCTCCCCAACCTATAACTCTCTTCATCAATGTTTACAATCTCACTCCCCACCAACGACACAAGTAACAATAGTTTGATTTGGTTTGGTTTGTTTTACGGCATATCAACCAGAATGGTTTATTTAATGCCGACAAAATTTTTATTGCTGGTAATATTTTTTTTTTTTTTTTGAAAAATGTGTAGCTGACAATTTTTATTTATTTATTTATTTTATTTTTATTTTATTTTATTTATTTATTTATTTTATTTTATTTTATTTATTTATTTTTATTTTATTTTCTTTTTTTGAAAAAATGTATAGTTTGGTCTGGTTTGATTTGTGGCATATTAGTCCCAATGGGTTATTTAATGCAACGTATGCCAAAAGTTTGTGCTGCAGTAATCAAGGCTAAAGCAGGATATTTTGACCAGAGCAAAATTTAATCATAAAATGATTTTTTTTTCTTTTTGTCATAATCATAATTTCTAATAAAAAGTCATGTCTCACTTTTTTTCACCATGTATAATAATTTGCTCTTATTTTGGTCCAATTTACCAGGGGTGGTTTCAAACTTTTGAACTGCAGTAAATTTTATTTTTAGATTTTTATTTTTATTTTTTTTTTATCGGGACTTACTTCTAAATATTATATTTGAAATTCATTTGCAAAAAAAAAAAAAAGAAAAAAAAACGCTACACACTTTATATAACATGTACTTAATGACAGTAGTAAAAATATATAGGGCGATGAAAAAAATAACGATTTTTACAGCTGATTGTATTTAATGATCTTAGCCTTACTAAATAGCATCTCTGCTTGGGCGTTGAACATTTTTTGTTTCATTTACTGCAATCCATAATATACTTTAGCTTACCGGTACGTTCCCGTGATACAATAAACGCGTTATTGACAGCTGAGCAATGTCTTAGCCGTGTAAACATAAATGAAGAGCCACTTCTTCTAAAAGTGAATGCTGAGCAATTGTTTATTATTATTTCTTTCATTTTTCCCCATTTTTACCGGTTTTTTTCTGTATTAATATTTATTTGTTTTTGTACAACTATCGCGAAGATCGTTTGCCTTATTCTTACTTTCTGGACTTACTTTTTTTTACTACTCACTTGGACTCAGCTCCAAGCCAGAGGAGAAATGAAAGCGGACGACTGACTCCTCATAACCAGCTGTTTCGTATAGATAGCGCTCGCTAGTCACGCTAGTTCTTTTCTTTTTATGTGCCATGTCCTTTCAGGTGTAGGTGATCATAGCTCTCCACTGCCCTCTATCCCTTGCAGCTCTTAACAAGTTCCTTACTTTCTGTCATCTCTCACAGACCACGTTCTGTCATCCACTTGCTCAAGCCCGCTAGGTATGTCATGCGGTGCTTTCCCTCTATTCGACCCGTGAGTATCAGATTCTCCAGGCCTTCCTTCCTCATTATGTGTCCCAGAAACTTCAGCTGCCTCTTCCTGATGTTAAGTATAAGCCTCCAACTTGTTTGCGTTCTCTCTAAGACTTCATCTTTGCCCATACGCTCGGTCTATGATATCCTTAGCATCCTTCTGTAGAACCACATCTCCATCACCTCGGGTCTCCTTTTCCTGTTTGAGGAAATCGTCCAAAATTCGCTGCCGTAAAGGACAGATGTCACGTAGCAGCTCAGTATTCTTTTCTTTGTTACCATAGAAATTCTCCTGTCTTGCAATACTCTGCCCGGCATTTGGAATGCGTCCTTGGCCATCCCAATACGTGGGATGGCCAAGGAGTTCATCTAGTGGAAGTAAAAATGGCTTACGTCCATATCACTTTGAAGCACCGGTTCTCGTACGATCACTAAAGTTAAGCAACGTCGAAACTGGTCAATACCTAGACGGGTGACCGCTTGCGAATACCAGATGTTATAAGATTAGATGTGTGGGTGGTGTAATGGATAACGGCTGGCAGTTTGAAATCGAAGACTCCAATCGGGTTCGTTATATTCACTTACGCGCAAATACCCTTGGGAAAAGTATGCATCCACATCGACTCTCTCCAACTATGGGTTAATTCGTAGGATTTGTATAAATATTACCTCCCCCAAAATTTCTTACAGTACAAAAATATTTTCTGGCTTTAAATAACCTGCAAATGGTTGATAAGCAGTAAAAAACAAATCAGTCGATCATTTAATCGTTTAAAATGAATAGTTTGGTGCTTTACCTATTAACGCGCTTTCATCTTCAGACTTGTAAGAGTTAACAATCTGGAACTTATCAGCCTGATAATCCATGGGTTAAAGAGTGCTAGCAGGTAAATCGACAAATTTTTACTTTTATATGATATTTTATTACTGTCATACATGAAGTATTTTTATTTTTTTTTATCCTATCATCTTTTTCGCAATTATGATTTTGTAATATATGCGTAAATGTTTAGCAGGTGGCTTGAAAGAGAAACGAACATTGATTTTTTAACACTAAGACATTACATAATTTAATGGTTGCATACAAGGGATCTGTTTAATCATTTCCCCCCAAACAAGGTGATAATATCTCTAAGACGCAAAGGGATTACAGGGAGTGAAAGAGAATGAGAAAATTTTAGTGGGTAGAGATTATAAAAAAAGATAATAGAGGAACAGGATTCAGCTAGACAGGAGATCACGATTGACGCTGAATTTAAATTTTTGAAGATTGGAGTTGACAGAGATGCAAGAAATCGGAAGGGTGTTCCAAACGCGAGAGGTACGAAGAAATAAACTATTAGAATAGAACTAACGGTTGCATTTAGGTAGCTCATCAGTAAAATGGTATGACCTCATTGCCAGTCTAGTTGCATGCTTAAGTTGCCAGGAGGACAGAGCTGCAGAGCCTGACATGAGTCTGGGAAGGAGATAAGGAAGAGATCAAGTAGAAAAGCGTGTTCGTCAAAGTTAACAGGAAAACGCATGGAGAAGTCTAGTATATTGAGTTAGAGATTATAAAAAAAATTCTTTTTTTTTTTTTTTGTTAAATATTGGAAATTTAAATCAGTTTAAAAATGTTATTTTCTTTAATTTAGTTTTGTAGTATGTGGTACATGATAGGGATTAAATTTAATATCAATAAGGAACATTTCGTTTTTTTTTTTAATTATTACATCTCAAGCAAGGCAATAAAACCGCTAAGACGCAAGAGGTTACTTAGTGTGAAAGAATAAGAAAAAGTGAAACATTACTAAGAAGTGACAACATTAAAAGAAGTGGAATGAAGAAGGCTATAGATAACTATTGGAATTGCACTTAAATTTTTGAAGATCAAAATTGGCTGAAAAGTAAGAATCTCGAAGAGAATTCCACAAGCGAGAAATGCTAGAAAAGAAACTATTAGGTTGGTGCAAAATAATGACGTAATAATGTCGTTTTTTGACGTTAAAAAATACGTCAAAAAACGACATTATTGCGTCATTATTTTTGCACCAACCTAATATTAACGGCTACATCTAACCAATTCAACTTTAAAACGATGAGATTTTGTATCCAATCTAGTACTGCACTTAAATGAATAAAGTCTAAATACCACAAAACAAAGTTCATCAGAACAATTACTATGAAAGTGTTTATAGAAAAGGCACGGAGAAGCAACATTACGGCGGTGGGAAAGTGACTAAAGCCGAGATGCCAGGTCAGAACCAACAACATTACAGATTCTTCTTTGGATCTGTAAATATGTAGCAGGAGCACCTTGCCAGATTTAGCAGCAATATTAAAGTCATGAACGAACGGTAGACTAATAAATATGTAAGATAGATTCTGGCAAAAAAATGTCTAGCATGACACAGTGAACCAACTTTCTTAATAGCTGACCTAACAATTGGTTCTATATAATCTTTAAACATCATGTCAACCGAGAAATTTTCCCCTAGAAAGCGCAATGAGTCACTCTCTTAGAGGCCAGCAGCAGCCATGCTGATGGAAATCAGAAGGGGGTCTATCATATAGTTAATAGGAAGTCGTTTTGTTTTGGAGGCCTTAAAATTAGCAAACCATTCATTGGTTCAGTTAACAAGAGATTTTAGGTGAATTTTGAGATCAGTTCTTTTAAAAGAAGTTGATTTGTGGTAATCCTAATATGTACTAGAAGATACCAAAATAGATTTCTCACTTAATCTCCCAACCGAGCATCAGAGAAGCTTGTCACAATGGTTGATGGCTGACCTGAGAGATAACCTCCTAGCCACCAGGTACAGAGTCGCAACATCACTGGATGACGGTAAGTGCTCTTGATATGTAAACAGGTAGATGACCCAGCTGCGCTGAAGGTGTGATAACCGGATGACAGGTATGATAACAGAATGATATATAAGCGCCTCTCTCAAGACAAAGAGTCGTCTCCATCCTAGTGACAATGAGATCCACGCTCGGAGAAAAACCCAAAGCCACGCGCCCATTCGCCGATATTAATTAAGTCCAGAGCTGAATAAACAATAACTTTGTGAGAGAGATTTAATTTCGTCTTCTTATTGGTCTTTACAGAGATAAAAATTTTTATGTTCCATGTCCCTTTAAGGCATGGGCGTTCATGGCCCTTCCACAGGCTACTATCCATTGTAGCTATAAGCAATTTTTTTTTATTTCATTATCTAATCCACTCTCTGCTCTGCCATGCATTTACACAATCTCGCTGTTTCTCTTTGTCTTCCTTGCCTTCAATATGTCCTGTGAGTGTCAAATTCTCCATTATGTGTCTTAGTAATTTCAGATGTCTCGTTCAGATTCAAAATATTCCTTTTTTATTTTCATTTTCTTTAAAACGTCCAGCCTACACACATGCTCCGTCCATGGAATTCTCAGCGTCTTTCTGTAGAACCACATATCTGTTGCCTCAAGTATCCTCTTCAATTGTGATGAAATTGTGCAGCATTCACTGTCAATCACAAGCGGATTGATATTACATAAACAGATGGGCATTCTTATCTTTGATTAAAATCACATCTCAAGTTTCCTCTTCATTTGTGAGTAAATTTAGTTCATTCAATGCCATATAGAAAGATTGATATTACATAGCAGTTGAGCACTCTTTTCTTTGTTTCTAATAACATTTTCCAGTTTCTTAATACTTTGTTTCACATGTGGAAGGTATATTTCCCTATTCCAATACAGCTTCGGATTTCGGTGTCATATTACACCGGTTGACATTTTTTTTCGCCCCAAATGTTGTTGGGCAATGGGTACATGTTTATAGGCTATTTCTTTTCAAGCTGTATCTGAAAATCAATTCCATTTTACCCTATCCAATCACATTTTTTCAGTACAGATAATTTCTATTTTGCTTAAAATAGGCCAAAATGATAAATTCACAGGGTTATGCCGCGGCTTACATAGGGACATAGTTGAAACATTTTGTTTCATGTTAAAATGATTTTTCATTCAAAAAAGTATCTAAATAATTTTCAAAATGAATTCTAAGTTATTTCAGTTCAGATAAGCTGACCTGAAAATGATTGATTTTATCAGAGATATCTCACTAGAAAATGTTCTTGTGTCCTCCATGTTCTTAGCTTGTTAAAACTTTGGGATTTGTTTCTTCTCGATTTTTCATAGAAGAAGCTCTTTAGAAGTCATTAAAGAACAGCAATTTTAGTTTTTATTAGTAGTTTTCACTTTAAGCCTGAAACCGTCATAAGATTTTATCATATCACTTGAATTTACGGAGGCGTGGTACTGTCATGGAGTCTCGGTATAACATGCATATGAACATCGATAAATGAGGGTTGTTAGGGTGTTTGGTGAGTGTATTTGAGACCAGCAAGATTAAAATTTTCTTTATCAGCGCTTAAAATAGCCGCCAAATACCAGATAGGCATAGCCATCTAGGCACTTTGTAGGTGGGATGTTAACATGATGGCTGATTTCTGCTGAAGCATCAAAAGAGATCAACCTTTTCAAAAGCATCGTAGAGTTTCCAAGAAGAGAAGATTTATACCTTCGGATGTACAAAAATGAATGTATTTTTCATTCCTTTGTATCTACGTTGCTTTTGATTCAAAAATTGATGACACATATTTGCCTTAATTTAATTTTGTGTGAGATTTTTCTGAAAACCATTTTTTGAACTGAAAATGATGAAAATGCATTCTTTAAGTTATTGAGATACTTTTTCTTTTATATGTTATTTTAACCTGAAAACGTTTAAGGTTGGTTCTACTTGGCCCTGGTATATCACTTTTAAATGGATATTTTGACCTATTTTAAGAAAAATAGAAATTATCTGTACTGAGAAAACGTGATGTGATGGGAAAATGGACTTTCTTCTTTCTTAATTGCTCTAGCACTTTCTGTTTCTTTCTTTCTTCAGCTCTTTTTCTTTCCTCCTTTTTCTTATCATTTTTCTTTTTCTTTCTTTCTCTTTCTTCTTTCTTTTTTTTTTTTTCTTTTTCTTTCTACCTATATTTGTTTCTTTTTTTAATTGCTCTAGCACTTTCTGTTTCTTTCTTTCTTCAGCTCTTTTTCTTTCCTCCTTTTTCTTATCATTTTTCTTTTTCTTTCTTTCTCTTTCTGTCTTTCTTTTTTTCTTTCTTTCTTTCTACCTATATTTGTTTCTTTTTTAATTGCTCTAGCACTTTCTGTTTCTTTCTTTCTTCAGCTCTTTTTCTTTCCTCCTTTTTCTTATCATTTTTCTTTTTCTTTCTTTCTCTTTCTGACTTTCTTTTTTTCTTTCTTTCTTTCTACCTATGTTTGTTTCTTTTTTAATTGCTCTAGCACTTTCTGTTTCTTTCTTTCTTCAGCTCTTTTTCTTTCCTTCTTTTTTTCTTGTCATTTTTCTTTCTTTTTTCCTGTGTTTCCTTTCTTCTTTCTTTCTTAATTGCTCTACTACTTCATGTTTCTTTTTTCTGCTCTTTTTCCTTCTTTTTTGCCTTTTCTTTCTTTCTTTTCTTTTGTTC